TTTAAATTTGTTAAATAATATATATTAGTTATTTTGTCATTTATTAATTATTAACTATAATTATTTGATATTTTTAATAACTAAATTGAACTTGAATTAATATTTTAAAAAATAGTATTTAACTATTTATGTAGTCTAATACTTTTGGGTGTGGCCGGTTGTAATCGCAACCGACATAGAATACCTAATTGTTTTAATTTCTTTTTTATATATATAAAAGAAAGAGGGCAATTCTTTCTAAAATTTCCAAGTGGGGAAGGAGGTGGGGATTGATGCTGACTGTTCAAATTTAGGTCATGTGCATTTCGGTAAAAATTAACTGGTTTACCAGCAAGCCTACAACAGCTTTTTTCTCAGCTCAAAAAAAATAAGAGGAAAGAGTATGTGCTCCCAAACAAAATTCAAGAGTAACGTCCCTCACAATACAAAGATGTATAAAAGAGGAAAAGTACTACGCTGTCCTTTGAGAACTAGTGTTGCATTGGTTCTGTATTAAGCTAGTCGAGTGGAAAAGTATAATGTTATCATTTGGTGGCTGAAAGAATCACTTTTCTCAATTCAATAATTTTTATTTTTTCTATACCTCATTTAGTATAACAGTTAAAATTTAATAGATAATAAGTAGAGAGTAACAGGTAACAAGTAGCAAATATCGAATGGTAATTAACAAATAATAGATGACGAATAACGAAAAATAAATAACAAATAATAAATAATAGATTTTAATTAATATAACTGTTTGGTTATGGTTAATAGTTATTATTTGACATTAAATAACTAATAAGAGGATATTTAAAGGTAATTAAGTGTATTTTTTTATATTTTTTATTATTAAAATGATTAACTTTATAAAAGTAATACTAAGAAAATAAATAAATAAAATATAAAAATGTGAATTACAGCCACATTTTCTATTTTTAATAAAGAAAAATTTATATTATTTTTAAATAAAAAATTAATTATTTTATCTAATTAGAAATTTTTATTTATTGAGCTAATATAATTTTTTATGATAAGTTAATGTAAAAAATAAAAATATAATAGTTACTTAATGTTATTAAAGAGAAAAATGAAATTGAAACTAATAGATAAGTTCTAATTAAAAACAATGACAAAAAAATTGAAAAAGATAAATTTATCAATAAAATTAAAATATTCTCATTTATTAATGATTTGATACGAAAAGCTATTTAAAGTAAATTTTTCAATCTACTAACAGTTTAGATTCTAACTGCTATTCGCTACTCATAAATAGCTAAATAAAAATTTTTATCAAACACCTAATTTATAGTGGTTTCAAAATAAATAAATTTATTAAACACCTAACTCATGACAATTTAGACAAAATCACTAATTACTGCCCCTAAATAGCTATATCAAATAGGCCATATTTTTTTTTTTTCACTTTTTAGAGTTTCTAAATATGTTCTTGCTGAGATGCTTAAAATTTGGAGGACTTTTTTTTTTTTTCTATCAATAAAAAAAGTTAAATTAATATTAAAGAGAGTACAAAGGGTACTCTACCTAAAAAAAGGTTAAAATGCTATTTTGATCTCTCAACTTCAATAAAAAAAATATCTTTTTAGTCCTTAAAATTTATTATCTGGTCCATTTTAGTCCCTTAATTTTTTTTTCCACACATAACACATTAAATGATGAAAATTCTATAGTAGAGAGACTAAAAAAGGCTAAAAAGCCCCTTTTAGTCCCTCTATTAAAACAAGGTCCATTTTTAGCTCATCTAATTTGGAATTTCCATTGATTAATGTTCCATGTGTGTGAAAAGATAATAGAATGACTAAAAAAGAGCTAAATAATAGACTTCAAGGATTAAAGGGACTTTCCCAAGTGAAGCGACTAGAAAGGAGTTACTTATTAAAGTAGAGGGACCAAAATGGATTTTTAACCAAAAAAAAATGTTTAAAAAATTGCTCTTTAAAAATTTGAAACTTGTCCACTTTGCAACTAAATTGCACATCAATAAGTCTTGTAGACTGAATCTACTAATAAATAAATATTATCTTATAAATCAAATTTAAAATGTAAACCATTTGACCCAACCTGTTTACCAAGTTTAGAAGGAAGGGTTACGAGCAGGGACAGAGCCAACGTAGGACAAGGGGGGTAGCTGCCTCCCCTAAGGTTTTGAAAATTTTCAAATATGGTACATTAATTTTTATTTTCTACAAAATTTTGTTTTTAGAGGTTTTAAACTATTGGGACCATTTCAAATATATATAAAAGAAGTTAGGATTTAGGTAAAGGAATTGTTTCTCTCCTTATGATTAATTTTTAAGATATGATAATTTGGTCTAGGTAAGAAAAAATATTAAAAAATATTAAAATCTAATTAATTACATTAATATAACTTATATAAGTTTTTACATTAGTTATATATAACTTTTTTGTACAATTTATATACTATGAAAATAATATTAAATTTATTCTATTTATATAAATCATAAATTTCGAATTTAAAGTTGTTTTGATATAAGTAGCTATTTAAAAATATAAACTATATTCTTATACTTGTTTTTAGAGATTTTAAAGTATATATCATTCAAAAATAACTAAATATATTGAATTTTCTTGATGAACTAAATATATGGAATTAATTCAAAGTTTGACATGTATAAATAAGTGATACATAAATAAAATAAGTGATTAATGTAAAAATTAATTTAAATTATGTTAACATGAACTAATACATAACTCAAAAAAAAATTTTAAGCTTTCCCCTTGCCCCCTCTAACTTTAATTTTTGGCTCCGTCCATGGTTACGAGGGGACAATCTCCCCCATGTCAACTTTTGAAAATATATTTTTCCAAATTTTTACAGATATTATTTCTTCTCTCTTTAAATTTTTTAAATATTATATTTATCATGTAAAAATTTAAGTTGTTCTCTTTTTTTAACAGCAAATTGCATTTTTATTTACTATTAAGTATAAGAAGTGCTCTAATCCATTTACATCAATATATGATCCTCAATCATCACCTATTCTCATTTAACTATTTATAATCTTTATAATTTTTTTATTGTAACCACCATTTAAAATACAGAAACAACATTAAGATTTAATTAAATGTTTTGTAAAAGATGAGAATATTATAATTTAAATAAATGAATTTTCCTATATATTAAATAACTTAAGAATTGAAGCTCTTAATTAAACCCAAATTCAAATATCTTCTCCTCTAAGTTTTGGAATTGTTTTAGAATTTTATTTTTTAAATTTTTACTTTTTAATTATTATTTATTTTGGAAAATGAGATTTGATTAACGACAAATTTAGATGATAAAAATGTTTGACTCTTTATCTAGTTAACGATTTCAGTACTAATAATATGCTCCTCCTTCCACATTATTTATGCAAAAAGATAATTTTTAATAGACAAATCCAAAAAAAAAAAAAAAACTGCAATTGAAACAATAGGATTTTGAATTAGTTAATTCATTATTTAAGTATCATTATAGTAAAGTGTTATTTTTTATTTTAATAAAATAATTCATTTAGTAAAACAATTATTAAAAAAAATATGAGAATCATTAAGATTCTAAGAATGAAAAAGATAATCAAAATTAAATTTTTATTAAAGAAAATAAACTAGAATCATAAAAGAAATTTAGGACTCAAGACGTTAATAAAAAATTTTTCTCCCACGTTTAATTTTCTAGTTCCGCCCCTATTGACGACCGCAGGCCAGCAGCGGACAAGGAGGTTTTACTGGTGCAGGTGTCTGCAAATTTAAGGCGGACGGTAGTTGTATGCTTAGGTTAATTTGTTAAGAGTTCGTTGTGATTGCTATATGGGGCGATCTCTTTTATTCCACTACATGGAATAGGGATTGATCAACCTAAATCGTAAGGTTCAATATTATCCAGGTGTCCTGCTAGGGTAAATATATAGTCAACAATAATTATTATCACGTGTAAAATTGTAACTTTATAATTTGAGATAAGATTATAGGTGTAATATTTTCATTGGTGAGATGACTTCTAACCATACAAGATTAAAAGTTTTATGATCTAATGGGACAAAAACTTACAAATAATTAATAGACTAAATCAATGAACATAAATTAAAACATGCTAGCATTAAAATTATCGAGACTTTCAATTATGAAATGCTATAACCTTGCTTCTATTTTTCTTTTTTCTTTTTTTTGGTTTTATTTTTTGGAACTTGACAAATTTGAAGAAAATGAATAATCAGACGCCTTAGTTAGGCTTAGGGAATGGACTTAAATAGCTGAAACTTGGCCGGGGGTAATCTTTCGTCTGATAGCATTGAAGTTAGCCGACCATGAGCAAATAATAAGCAGGGGTTATCTAACTTCTCATTAATTGTTTCGAAAAACTAATAAAAATTAATTTTAATTTTATTAACCGTCTATTCAAATTTGGCGCTAATTAATAAGTTAAAAATATAATTTATTTTTATATTTTTTATAAAAATTAATAGAGAAATTGTGTCAACAGTGCATCTTGGTTAATGATAATGATACAATTATAATATTATCTAAAATTATAA